AGATTAGTCGTCCTTTTTCTAGAAAATCATCTTTTACGACTTTCTACCTGCTTTGATCAATGAGGAAGTTAAACCGTACACAAAGTATATGCCGCATGTACCTCCCGGTATTTCACATGCATTTGCGGCTGCCGCCTTCCGATTTCCACATAGCATTGTGAGTTGTTTACGGTTGTTTACTGGCCGTATGACATTGGCTTTAAGGTGCGAACAAGATAGCAAGCACTGCCTTCGATTTAGGTGCCACCGGCGATGATTCTTCGAAAAAATGTCAATGCTTGCAAGTTTCGTGAAGAAGTTGGCGGTTTCCCGGCTCTTCGACTCTGCCAAAATTGGTGAGGGTTCCCCCTACAGAAATTCTAAGTCGAGCTGTGGCTGAAAACATATTTTCGTTAGATTTTTTTTTGATTTTTCAGTTGAAACTATTTTTTTCTCGTTTCTAGGTGGAACGCACAGGATATTGTTCAAGAGTATTCAGTAGATGAAATCATTCTTGGAATGGCTTCACAAGTAAGCGAAGCTGACGATATTATTGTGGTAGAAGACCTTCGAGGTGAGAAACAATTGACGTTAGAAACGGAAACTATTCGTTAGAGAGGAACTAGGCCGTTCGGGTAAAAATGAGCAAATGGGAACACTTGCAGACTTCATCTTCGGCCCAATGCACTTCACACGGTTGGATGTAGTCGCTTCATCTATCATGCGAGGACGGGACAACGGTCTTCCATCCTATAATGTGCTAAGAAAGACATTTAATCTTCCCGAAAAGGAATGGCACACGATTAACCCGAAACTCTACAAAACCAACAAAACGGTATGTTACGACTTCAATCGAGATGAATTCCAGAGATTCCATGGAGTGGTGGCGGTATTAGTGGTCGTAAAATAGACATGATAATAAGTAATAATTTCTGATCTGTTTTCTGATACCATGAAATAATTTATATTAACTAATAGTAATTCGTAGTAACATGTGATAGTGCATAGTAACAATGCCGGCTTTTGAATTAGACGTAAATTAGACATAGGTAACACGTAACAATTTCCAATGGCCCAAAATAACATGCGATAATTGGTAGTAATTTGTAATAAGATGTGATAATGCGTAATAATGCGTAGTAATACAGCGGTTTTTACAAATATTAGAACCATAACGTAATTCTGCTTGAGAGGGGAACTATATTCTGTTGTCACAATTCAAATATAAACCTATTTTTTTAGATGTTCGACAAACTAGCTGCTCTTTATGGTAGTATTGACTATTTGGACGCCTACGTTGGTGGTATGCTTGAAGTTGATAATGGACCAGGCGAGTTATTCAAGGCGATCATCAAAGACCAATTCGAACGACTTCGTGACTCGGACAGGTAACACCTTTAAGATTCGATCTTTCCTGGTTTCCCATATTGTACGTTTGCGAATGAAACGACGTAAGCAATTCCAACTTATCTAAGTCTTTGTTGAGGTTTTGGTTCGAAAACAGACAGAATGGGCTGTTCACTGAAGAGGAAATCAAGGAAATTCACAATATCACTTTGAGAGACATTATACGTGCTACTACAGAAATATCAGATCAGTGGCTGCAGGAAGATGTAAGATCACTTCTTATCTTTGATTATCTACCTTTGTATTACATATTATCCCTAATCCCTGGCCATTCAAGGTGTTCTTTTTCAAAGATGGTGATCCATGCCCACAGCCTTTCCAAGTTAATGCTACAGGTGAGCTCAAGGTGGTGGGATAAGGTGAAAAGACCAGGTTTGATCCTCTGATTGAGTGTGGCTTTCCAGGGCTTGAGCAATGCGTTCCGTTTATGAGGTTCGATCATTTCACCGGCAACGAAGTTACCTACATCTTCACTCTTATCGGTCTTGGATGTATTCCTTTGAGTACGTTTTGACTGTCTTTATATGCCTGGATCAGTCCTCCTCAAAAAAGCAGCTTTCTCACTACAGTCTGCATCGGTATTGGCTATGTACTAGTCCAAAGACGTCGTCGAATGGGATGGGACAGCTCGTTCGACGATTTGTCCGCCACAGCTGTCGACGACGATGCACCGAATGATCGTTATCACATTCAAGGTTCGATCTTCTCCTAGGGGCTGGAAAGGCTTCGAAAATGGAGGTTAACTTACAGTATATTCCAGCTTTCGAATGGCTTCAAGAATGTTATGTTCGCCAAGTGATCGTCGAGTTCTCTCCTGGTACCATGACCCTTCGTAAACCACGTGGACCAATTTTGAGGAAAATGATTTTCCCCGAAAATGCTGAGGTTAGTCTTTGTGGACGCTCTACTGTAATGTTGTGTGAGAGCTTCAAAGTATGAAGTTCACGAGTATGGTAATGACATGCATAACTGCTCACTGCTCAGTGGAGCTGCATCAGAGGAAGGGTGTGCCGTTGTATGGTTCTGCTAGAAATTAGGTCTGATTGAGAATTACTGAAATTCTCCAGTTACTATTTCCTTATAAGCTCACAGCCAGTACTAAAGGTCACTGTGAGTCGTACTGAAGATTACTAAAGGCGTTTTTCCATCAAGAATGCGAGATAACAATATGACTAAGGATACTGTTCGGCATCTGTCGTTGTTTACTTTCATCCTCAGGTGTAAGGGAACGATTTGAGGCAGAAATTGAAGGTGTAAAGCATTCGGGATGTAAGCTAACAGCAAGGGAGTATCTGAAAGCTCCTCGAACGGCAGTTATAACAATACTCTTTAGATAACTGTGTTCCATAGCGAGCCGAACGCTTCCACAGTCCATGGACCGTACTGCCTTGTAAAGCTCAGAAAAACGCATGATTTGGTAGGCGTGTTTCATCATACTTGTATTGTTTTTGGTATTGTTGATTTTATTTTCATGTTATCATTATTATCATTGATATTATAATTCTATCTGATTAGTATGAGACGGAGGTGGTGTAGTGGCAAGTGGCACATTATCACACGCGCTTGGTCACGGATTGGAATCTCGGATCGATATCCGCCTAGGCCAAGCAGGCCATACATCCCTCTGAGGTCGATTAATGGTACCAGACTCACCTGGGAGCGTAAAAGGGCTGAATAGTACATAAACTGGCCACCGCAACTCATTGCATAGGCCACCTCCGCATTCGAAACGCCACTACGGTTCCGAATGCGGGGCGCACCCTGCAGATGGGTCTGATCAACCTCCAAACCAACGACCACTTTATTCTTTGTCCTTTATCTGATTAGTATTATAAGAAGAAAATGCTGCATTTGACTGGTAGGTATTATTGACGATTCCAACTTTCTTCCATGCCTTGGTCTGTAGTATACAACCTTTACACCTCAGTGACTAGCAAAAATTATTTCTTCGTGAATTCCATCATGTAGGAATGGTCGGTTCAATGTGATATGGTAATTTTGAGGTTCCAATGTTTTTCTGGCACTTTGGTGAACCTACAATTATGTCGTTCAATTTCAAGGTTCTCCGACTCCCATCCGACAAACACTTACCAGAGTTCCTAGCAGCACTAACGAGTTCTTTGAAGAAACTTGATGGACAAGTGACTTCGATTCCAATAGCAAACGACGTCTTACTCGAGAAAGCTGAAACAAAAGTACACTTCTTAACAATTTTAAGATCCAGGCATATCCCATAGTGAACCGAGAGGCGCTCCAATAGCTTTTACTGTTCAGGATCGCCGCCAGCAGCGTCTGGACCACTTCTTCCGGGAGGCTTATGCTCGTGCATTCAACCAACCAAAACTGAGTGATGCGCAAGCCCATGAAGAAGACAATGGAGATATCCTTAACCAGACAATTACCAGGTTCTGTTTCCGAGGCTCTCACTTACACTTTCCTTCTGAATATTATCAAGTTTCTAGGTACGAACTGGCTCAGGCGATGGGAATGAGGGAAACTGACATGTTCGTCCAAAGAATGTTCTCAGTTACTTCGCATAATGATAGCGACGTCATCACATTCGCCGAGTTCCTCGAAGTTCTCAGGAAGTTCAGCGAAGGTGAGAAGCTATTAAAGAACCGTTCCGGAAAAGGACTGGATTGAGCCAGAGGTCTGGCGCAATCCAATCCCGGAACCCCCATTCTCCCTTACAAAAGTCGTCGTTTTTCCACCATCTTGCTCCTGATTCAGCTAATGGCCAGCGGACTGCCTTCTTAGTTCCCAATTGTTCATATTATGTTCTGAAATGCTTAAAATGATGGATGTCCATTTCAGGAAGTGTAAAGGACAAGTACAAACTTCTTTTTGCAATGTGTGNCTAGGTACGAACTGGCTCAGGCGATGGGAATGAGGGAAACTGACATGTTCGTCCAAAGAATGTTCTCAGTTACTTCGCATAATGATAGCGACGTCATCACATTCGCCGAGTTCCTGGAAGTTCTCAGGAAGTTCAGCGAAGGTGAGAAGCTATTAAAGAACCGTTTACTTCCCCGTTCCGGAGAAGGACTGGATTGAGCCAGAGGTTTGGTGCAATCCGATCCCGGAACCCTCATTCACAAGAGTCGTCGTTTTTCCACCATCTTGCTCCTGATTCAGCTAATGGCCAGCGGACTGCCTTCTTAGTTCCCAATTGTTCATATTATGTTTTGAAAGGCTCATAATGATGGATGTCCATTTCAGGAAGTGTAAAGGACAAGTACAAACTTCTTTTTGCAATGTGTGATGTTCATGGAACCGGCAGAGTTCGTCGTAGTGAATTTGCTGAGTTCGTGCGATCGCTGAATGCCGTTGTCGGCGTCAGCATCACTGAAAGTAGCCAAAACCATGTCATAGAGAATATCCTGTATCGGTCAGGTAAGTAGTAAGTCGAAGTGCCGAGACCAAGGTTTTGAATTGTTTAAAGGCACCGTTTACGATAGATTTAGGGTACCCTTTTTCGACGGGAATTCATAGAACTACTCTAGAATAAAGCGATAACAACGAAAAAAAGCACAAAAAACGATGAACAAAAAGAATTACAAAGGGTCAAAAAAAGAGCTGGAAAGGGGGTTGGACAAGTTTCACATTGAAAGAACGGCGGTTAGGGTGTGTTTGGNAGTGAACGGCAATTATATTTCGTAGTCAGCCTAACGAGAGGCGGAGGGCGACTGTGGATAACTCTCCGGCCCCTTATTATGCCCTATCCAGACCGTTTTCCGACCTCATTCCTGCACAAATGGTATCAGAGGGGGCGTCGAATTCAAACTATGTGCAAATCTACGAAACCATTTTTTCGTGAACAGTGCCTTTAAGATGGATAAACTTTTTCGTTTGTTGATTTTATATTTTTCACTTTACAAAGTGATTTTTAAAGCCAAACGTTGAAAGTTTTAGTTGATCGAACTGTTTCAATACAAAATTGAGCATTGCGATTTAGGTATCAATCCTGGTTCGGAGTACTTAACTGCAAGCGATTTTGAAGCGATCTTCTCACAAGTCGATGAACGCCGTCCCATTGGCGTCGATTTCCGAGGTGCAAAAATTAAAGTGAATCTGCACGAGTAAGTCCGACATCACACGCTGTCTATTTGTTTTTTTTTTCGATTGAAAAATGTCGAAAAACTGAGTGATAAGGAGCTGCGAATGCAAGAATAGGGTTGATCAGGAACGTATCGTAAGTTTTGAATCATCGTTTGATCCGTTTACAGTTTCTCAGCGATTACGGTGAGGTTTCTATTTGGTCTCCAGCAATCTGTTTGTGAGAATTTCTTAGAAATACAAGCTCTACCGGCTGGTTAGAACTCTGATCCTTTCACGGAATACTGACTACAGAAGTTCCAATCCGTAAGGGCGGATGTGGTGTATTGGCAAGTTGTGCACTTTCGCACACGCATGGTCACGGGTTCAAATACCGTATCGATACCCATCTAGACCTACCAAGTTAGCCGATTCAGGAGAGATGAAGGGTTGGTTGGCTTAGGCGCTCATTGGCCCGGGACTTGATCCTCGGATAATTCGTGTGTGATAGAGCGCCACCTGCCACCACACCACCTCCATTTAGTTAAATAATTATATGGTTCATTGTTCCTCTTTATGACAGCCATGTGTAAGCGCTTTTCATTCAGAACCGCCTCGTTGAGCTCGTTTGCCGTTTCTGCAGTTTCCGAATATCACCGACTGCCTCGAAATGTTTGGGGCTCGATCGCCGCCTTCATCGAGACCTACCGTCAGCACATCGCCATTCTCTTCATCTTTTGCGCCATCAATCTGATCGTGTTTTTGGAACGATTCTGGCGTAAGTCCATCAGTTCCTGGAGGTCTGGTTTTCTACGAACTCCGTGATTCTCGATTCAGATTATCGCTATGAGACTGAACACCGTGATTTACGTCGAGTGATGGGTGCAGGTATTGCGATCACTCGTGGGGCTGCTGGAGCACTGTCATTTTGTATGGCGGTAGTACTGCTGACTGTTTGCCGTAACGTCATTACCCTGCTCAGGGAAACACCTATTGGAGAGTTCATCCCATTCGATTCAGCTATCACTTTCCACAAGGTTTGTTTTGCTCCAGACTTCCCGTAAACATCGTTGCTGCAGGGGCTTGCCCTAGAGACGCTACGTTTTTAAACAAAAAGTTTGAAAGTTTTTTTTGTAAAAAAAAGTTCGTGGGACTCACAAGGGCGTTATAATCGAACTTTATTATATCGGTGAATCTTAGAACTTAGAACCTGATGACACTCTGTAAGGGAGGAAGGCAACTCCCTAGTAAACCTGGTTGGGGTGATCTTCCTCCACGACCAAATTCGCTGAGTTACTGAGACCAATACCTGGTATCGTGCTTCACTCTCCGTCCACAGCACACTGCAAGAATGTCCTTGAGCCGAATCTTTGCCTAACTCTTCGAATCATTTTAGATCGTTGCTCTTTTCGCTGCATTCTGGGCAGCCCTACACACGATCGGTCACTGCGTGAACTTTTATCACGTCGCCACTCAAAGTCAAGAAGGACTTCATTGCCTATTCCAAGAAGCGGTCTTTGGGTTCGCTTTACTTCACTACTTTTGAAAAACATACACGGTCTGGGTTATTCAGTCCTATAAGTCTCAAACAGCTCCCTGAATCAGCCAAGATATATAGTGGATTCAGCGAACGAGGGGAGCCACATACAACTGGGTGCTTACGCGAAACTTCTCGTGAAGTATATACCTCTAAAGAACTCAAACCAACACAACCAAAGAGGTATATACTTCACAAGAAATCCCACATAAACACCCAGTTCTGTATGTGGCTCCCCTGGTTCGCTAAGTCCACCAGCCAGTTCAGTGAGCAGTTTGAAAGTTACGGAACTGAATCAATCAACTCATATCAGCTCGTGATAGGGGCTCAAGCACGAAGAAGATGCTTGTAATTTCTTAAATCACGTAATAATGTGATTTCTTGCAGATCAAACTTCCTTCCTTCGATTAGTTACTGGTTTTATGGAACGATCACCGGGCTTACTGGTATCCTACTTGTTGCTGTAATGTCAATCATCTATGTATTCGCCCTACCGTGCTTCATGAAGAGGGCATATCACGCATTCCGGTCCGTTGGAGTCCTTCGATGTATACAGCACAGTATTGTGACGAAATTATCCTAATTTTAGCCTTACTCACCTACTGAATGTCGCCTTCTATGCACTGACCGTGTTGCATGGACTACCGAAACTTCTTGATGTATGTTCACAGTCACTTTTAGTCCCTTCACCGGAGTTTGGTTGGATTCCCTCAAATTGAAGCTTTTCAGTCGCCAAAGTTTTGGTACTACGCTATTGGTCCAGTTATAATCTTTATTATTGATCGGATTATGGGAATGCGCCAGGAATACAAGAAACTCAAAATTCTCAATGCTGAGCTATTACCATCTGGTATGGCATGGTATCGCTTCTTCAACAAAAACAGATGTTATTAACAAAAATATTAAGGTTTTTTCTTCAGATATCATATACCTACAATTCAAACGACCTCTGTCATTCTCTTTCCGTTCCGGTCAATGGGTCCGTATATCTTCACCGGCTTTCTCATGTGCATTTAATGAATGCCATGCATTTTCACTTGCCTCTGCTCCTCAGTCGCCTACCCTTGAACTGTATATCAAGGTCAGTTTTGGTAATTAAATATTTTTGGATGTATGAATTAATTGAATTATTCTTCATCGTATTCAGGCTGTCGGTCCGTGGACATGGAAGTTGAGGTCAGAAATCATTCGAGCACAAGCTAGCGGTTCGCCTTATCCGTACGTCCATATGAATGGGCCATACGGCGATGGAAATCAGGTCCTAGCTTAGCCATTGGCCGTTATTTCCTTGAAAGTTTTTTATTTCAAAAACAATGCAGCTAAGACCGCGGTGCAATAGCTCAAGTTCCCTTCACCTGATGAGCTCACTGGTCGCAGTGGAGCAGGAAGTAGGAGTGATTTACAATTTCGAGACGTTCAGTTTATGACCGAATTAGTTCTGAAAGTCCTTGTAAGGGAAGAAATGTTGGCTGCTTATGTTTATTGGGTTGTCCCTGCCAGGCGTGACCTGGAAATCCCAAAGACCCTTTGAGCCATCTTCGAAGCATTTTTGGGTCGCTCATAAGGATCAATCCAGTCCTAATCTTCGCCTTTAGCCCAATGAGCCCAATGAAGGGCAGCGAAAGTGATTGAATGAGTAATGACGTAAATATAGCCATACCGAGACAGTAACCGGCCTTTCAGGAATTGAAAATTCGCTCAATAAACAGTGTTTCAGGAGTGGACGAACTATGAAGTAGCTATACTGATTGGAGGTGGAATTGGCGTAACACCGTATGCGTCCACATTGACCGATCTCGTACTGGAAACTACTTCTGGACGACACCATAACGTTAAGTGCAAAAAGGCAAGTCTATTTTTGTCCTGGACCTCCTTTATCATTTTCTCCCTCTCCTGGACGTCTTGGATCTGACTTCAAGTTGTTTAACTCCTGAGGCAGGATAGTGGGGGAGACGTGCATGTGGGTTACTTCGAGAAAGTCAGCCATCTTTCCATTCAGAAGAAGCATCTTTCACACCTGTTCCCCTTGTTCAGGGCTGGGAATCGGTAAAGAAAAAAAATTGGGCTCATAGTACATGGATCGCTGACGGTTTCCGCAGAGGCGCCAATTCACTTGTACCCCTCTAGTTCGTGAACCCGTGTACTGTTGGATGGGTCCTGATTCATGTTGGCCACCAACTTATCCTTTTTAATATCAGGTCTATTTCCTATGGATTTGCCCTACGCACAAGAACTATGAGTGGTTTGTGGATGTGCTGAAAGATGTCGAGGAACTAGATCAGAACCGATTACTGGAGACTCACATCTTCGTCACTCAGTTCTTCCACAAATTCGATCTAAGGACCACCATGCTGGTACGCCAATTCGACAACTCCTCGTCCTGTTTTCTTTTCAGGAATCTTTTAGAATTCTACTTTTCCCTGTTTTTAGTATATTTGCGAGAAACACTTCCGTGGTGATCACCAGGGCAAATCGATGTTCACCGGCCTTCGAGCGCACAACCACTTTGGTCGTCCTAACTTCGACGCCTTCTTTTCTCATATTCAAGGAATTCATAGCGAGGTCAGCCCTCGGTCTTAATCCCATTTATGGGTCTACTACTGTATCTTAACTGTTGAATGTAGACTTTTCTCTGCCATTTTTAGATGTCCGACATCGGGGTGTTCAGTTGTGGTCCGTCCCAGCTCAACGAACAAATCAGTTCCGCTTGTGCTCGCGGCAATCGAGCACGGGATGCACCATCATTTATACACAAATTTGAAACTTTCTAACGTTACATTTGCTTTTATAATTTATTTGGAAGATTTTTTTGCTCAGAAAGCTTCTTCAACCTTGAACATCTGTCTCTGAACACAAAGGCAGCCTTTGTGATGCAGTTTGTCAAAATAAGCGAAAGGAACTCTGTCAGAAAGTCGATCACCTTCTTCACCTTCTCCCTTCCCCACTTGTTCTGTCCGTAACTGGCTCGATGCTTCTTTTATGAAATTGTTTTTGCCAGAGTTCTGAGTTCGTTCATGTTTCCAAGGTTCATTTCTAGGGACTGGGATGTAGCACCATCTAGGGACACCCATGACTACCCTAGCATGCCCCTTAACAAGGCCTCTTTGCGAATATTCCTTTTTGTTCCTTTCTTATGCGAGATTTCGATAATTTGAAGACTTGAGGTCCTATCCATGAGACCAA